GAGCAGGGTAAGGTCCTTGTTAATAAATTTAAACAAGTCTTCTTCCAGACTACCGTAATGGAGAGCATACCTCATATTTATCAGTGGAATGTGACCTATTATTCATCTGTTCCTCTGACAGTAAAAAAACTAAGCTGACCCTGAAAGAAGCAGGAGGTCTCTCCTGTGCCCTAGAAATCACAACTTCTAAACCTAAAAGAGTTTATCTTGTTTTAGTCTTGACTGGCGTTCTCACAAGCACCTCCAAAAAAACCTATCCTCCACAATACTTGTACATCAACTGAGATCTGGAAAAGTAGAAAGGTCCCTTAAGTATATTTAGGCACTCGACTAGATATTTATGTCTTCATTATCCTCTTTTTACTTGTGCTGAATCATTGATCTTAATATTTGCTGACAGTTAACTTTGAACATTTTTAAATTTGTGAACTTTTTTACATTTGTGAAAAACTGGGTAATCACTTGTTTGTATAGTTGCTTTAGAGTAATCCTATCCTACAGGTGTTGGAAAATGCTTGTGTTTCTTATTTCTTTTCTCAATGGTGGGAGTAGAACACAATAAAAAACTCAATTACTAAGGATAGTTCTGTAATTTTGAGAAAGTAGGAAGTTAATATTTTTTATATAAAGATTAACTATAAAGATTGATTGACTGAAAAATAATTTTGTAATAAACTTCTATGGAAGTAGGATAGGCTGAAATAGGGGCTAATTTTCAGACACACATTTATTAGCAAAAGAATCTAATTAAGATCTCTTAATCTTGGCTAGGATATACAGCATAAACACTAAAACACCTATTTAGATTGGTAGTAGGGAAAATCTAATTTATTTTGCTAGTTATTGTTAACATACAGTAAATTATCCTCTGAGACAATCTCAGCATGTGAACGTCAGACAGTACAACAACTCAGTACGTTGCTGTGTCTTATTTGTGCAAAATCAGTTTTTTGCTGCATCCAGCAACAATAAAATACAAAACTTCAGTTTTCTCCCTGTATTTGTTCATAGTTTGTTTTCAACTGCAAATTATTTTTTTCTAACTCTTTAAATTTTTTTAACACTGCTTTTTTTCATATTGTTATATGTATTTGGTTTTTATTTCTTTATTCCATTGTGCCATATTTTAACTCTGATAATTTGAAATGCTTTTATGCATAGTTCCATTTTCTTCTATTTTTTCTTTTACTTTTTCTTATGTTACTTTTTTCCCCTCATTTTATAGATTATGGAAACACTTCTCCTTCCTAGTTATCTACATTTTTTATATATATGGATTTAATTGCTTTAACTCAAACTTTCCTCTTCTGTCATAATTTCCTCCTACTTCACTATTCTAGTACATCTCTCTTCTGCTTTCTCTGGCAAAATTATTTGAAGTAAATGAGTTAAAGGATTGATTATTGTAGTCTTTCAATTCATTCATCTGAAAGTTGCCTCAACTAAGCTTCAACTAATAGATTTTCAAGTGTTTTGTTCAGCCTGACATAGAATTTCCCAAGAGGCTGAATCTCTTTCATTCCCTTTGGGACAATGATCCACAGCATGATAAATGTTCATTATTTTCATGGTCGTCATTAATTTCCTTCAATCTTTTGATGATGCCTCACTGCAATAAAGTAAAACCTTTATAGAATTTTTCTGAGACCTTTCTCTTGATAGGCTGACTTTGTTCATACTTGCTCTTTCATTTAGTGTGCCTTGTAGGAAAAATTTGACGTCCAAGCTCTTAGGAAGTTCAAAGATAGGTCTGACCATGCATAATAAATGTCCTTGAACTCGACAAACTTTTCAAAGGGTAAAGCAGCACGGCCAGAGTTATACTTTTCACTGTTTGTTCCATTCAGAAAAAGACCCTGGTTTCATTCCAGTGTCCCAGCCTCACAAGACCTATACATAGGTGCACTGACTCACCTTGTAACTCTTGTATTTTGGCACTTTCTCATCACAAAATCTTAAATCTTGACACTCTCAGCTCCTGAACCATTCAAATACTTTCCTCAGACTCAGTAAGTAAGATTCCATGCACTAGGAGAGAAAGTAGTTTCTTAATAGGCTTAAAATTGATGTGATGGAGACAACAGAGATAGCTCAGTGACAGCTATCTTCAATGTACAGTACTAGACCACTACTTTAAGTGCTGGAGAAACAAACAGTAGCCAAGTGTTAAAGTGTAGCTGTTCATGAAAATGGGGTCTCTACTTTGTATAAAGGGCAGCAAATTACACACTGAAAGGAAGAAGTGTCTTCTGCAGCCATGTGTCAAAACTTCTAATAGCTTCATCGCTGAGCCAGAAATATTCAAAAAAAGTATGGATGGTGAAGGAAATTAACAGCTTGTCCTACTTTACACATTCCTATTCACAGAGACTTCTATAATGTAAGTCACACAAACAATGCTCAGGAATCTCTCATAGACAAGTTTCTATAAATTCCCAGAATTCTGAAACAGCAACAGCAAAAAAATTGGGATAAAGTCTTTTGAAAAGAATGGGAGTAGAGATGCACAGGAACCCCAGAAAATTACTTTTTTATTTGCCAGAAAAGATTCAATGAAATTAAGTTGACTTTTAGAAATTACTCCATTAAAAATAAAATTAAAATAAAAAATACTGCAGTGATTAAATGACCCCCAAAAATGAACAAATTTTTTTTTTTTAAAGAAAGATACATTCTGTCCTCTCCTACTGAGATATTCACCAAAGTGACTTCTGATGACTCAGGAGCATATTATTACGTTTCAAAACAGAAGCTTTTACTCTTTTCTAATAGACGTATAATCTACCTGTCACATACATTCATTTTTTTTCTATAAACTGAATATGGAGCAGAGCAGCCTGGTCAGATTTAACATTTGGCCTTCTTCATACAAAGAGATACAAACCAAATTTTAAAACCACTACTTTTCTCACTGAACTGAAAACATATCCATCAATCTCACAGATCCATTTTTGTATTTTCTAACTGCTGACTATTGTTATGGAAAGCAGAATCGCATATAACACTGTTGATCCAAGTTACTCCATAGAGGTGAAGTGAGATATCTTGGATTTTTTGAAGTCCACATTCTTAATTTCACTTTAACCATAAGTATAATTTTCAGGTATTGGCACTCATTCACATGATTCCTTGGGTTTGTTTGGGTTCACCACCCAATAGAATTACAGCTCACTCAAAATCCTTTAAGTCATTTTATCAGCTTTCATTATATTTATCCAGGCCAGGTTGATACAAAAGGAGTTCCTGCAGATAATTCTGTGAGATGAGAGCTATCCAGCAATTCTGTGCCCCTGATTTTCTAGGTGTTGAGACATTTGATAATGAACAATTAATAAAAATTCAAAGTGAAAACAGGACTATGACTATTATAATGAAAAAATATATCACTGTTCCCATCTTCTCCAATAAGACAGATTGGTTTTGTAATTAAATCATGATTTGGAGTATCATGAGAAGAAGAGAAAAAATGGAGAAAGTATTCTCCTTAAAGTCCTGTATGTGTGTGATTGGACCACATTTTTTTCATTCTTCCTATTTTATTATAAGGTTGTAAGAAAGCAGTTATTCCTATTGAGTTACTCCTATAGCTCAGTCTATTCCTAAACACAAGGCATTTGCCATCTGTCACTGATCAGGAATGGTTTGAAGGATACAAAAATGTTTTCATGGCAGTTCTGCTGTTATTGGTATGGGTTCTGGGTATGAACCATAGGCTTTAGAAGTGGGATTATATTCCTAATTCTGTAGAGCACCCAACAGCAGAGGACAAACCTACCCTGACATTAGTTTGGACTAATTCAAATAGATTTTAATTCATTAATCAGCTTGTGATGTAGTTTTCTGTCACATTCTTTCTCCTTCAGCAAAGGTACATCTTCTAGTGTTACTTCCAGGACTCTTTCCTTCATATTGATTCATGAATTTCAAAGCAATGAAAAAAATTATTATTCAAGGCAAGTTCTACCCAGGTGGTCAACTACATATTTTTTAGACTGTGGTCTTTCTTCATGATTCTTTGAACATTTTGTAAGTGGGAGAAATAGTATTCATCTGAGCTATGATATACTTTCTAATATTTATTACACATATTTCTCTCATAAACCTCTTTATTCTTTATTATCCATTCCATTATAGATGCACTATACCTCCCACATTCAATTGCCTCTGATGATAGTTTATTTTTAAATTTCCTTACACCCATCTTGACATTTGTTCAACCCACTTATTATTTGATGGCACACAAGTTTTTCTAACTGTACATTAACTGGAAGGTTTTAATTTCTTTTCTGGCATGAGAATAAATAATTTATTTTAACTCATCCACTAGTCCCTGCATTCTTTACTAATTTAGTCTGTTTAAACAGTGTGTAGGGGGAACTAAATAAAGGCTGAAGGTTTGGGATGAAATCAGATATGATAAATGAAGGAAGGGAAAGTACAATATTGCACTTTGTGCAAATCAGATCAAAGTCAAATATTATTTATTGTCTAATTTCCCCTTGTACACATTGTGCCAGGAAGGAACAGTTTGCTGTGTCAACAAATCTACAGACTAATTTATTCCTGAAAGTAGATGTGACCCTGTTTATTTCAAGGTAGTTTAACTGTTCTCCTTTGCCTAATGATGACTAATCTCTAGAGGCTCGGCTTCAGCCAATTAGTCTTAGACTGATCAATCCCCACCCCACATCCCCCACCCCCCCACCAGATTTCCTATTGTATTTTCTGAGAAGCCCTTCCATTTCTTATTTAAGACATATGGGAAAGGATTTTCATTGAAGAATTTTTGATATGGGCAAAGTTTCCATGCACACTCCTCCCTAAAAGCATTTTTTATGACATAAGACATTTTCTTTCAATATCAGATTTTGGACTAGAAAGGATGCAGTACCCCTTGAGTATTTTCTGTATAGATATCAAAATATATAAAAATATTTGAATGAGGCAGCTTTCACAACTTGAATGTAATCACCATGCAGTGAAATAACTACCATGTATACTTCTCAGGTTTATTTAAAATTTCCACAAACAGATATTCTATGGGCAAATGGCTTTAACTATTTTATGAAGCAAAAGCTACTGTCATTTCCAACAATAACTGCAAATTCACAGCATAAGTTCACAGTTCAGATCCAAAATTGTTTTCTGAATCAGTTACAATCCATTTCTTATCCTTGGCTATTGATTATTGATATAATTATGAAGCTTTGAAGAGACAGAAAAACAAAATTAGTTTTGAGAAAAAAAATAATCAGGTTATCAATTTTAAGAATTTATATTAATTTTATCACTGTAGAAAAATACAGAGGTGATACATCACCTTGATAGACAGATATTTTGCAGGGATAGTTATGCACAAAATCTTCCTCATTCTGTAAAGCATTTAAATCTGTAGGAGGTTTCTATCTGCACTAAGCAGTCTGCCACATGCCACGCAGCTCACAAAATGTGTCAGAGTGTAGGATAGCTGCGGAAAAGGCGTGTTACAATACTTTCTCTGCTCTAGCTTCAAGTAACATTATCCTGGACTCATTAGTGCTATGAAACACTGCTGTATCCACACTGTGTAATTTAAAATCAACAGTTTTAAAACTTCTTTGGTGAGTTAACATCACAAGGACACACACATGCAAGCAAGCTGTGAGTCACAGAACACCAACTATGTAGTTCAAACATATTTTCCCAAACAATAAATCTTTGTTAGTTTTTTTTCCAAAAGAAATTTTAATACTAAGGCATGAAAAGCAGTCATTTTCTAGAACTATTTCAGTATCTTCACCAACATACAGTTTAACCAAGACTTCAGTTTTTTCTGTGTCTCTGTAGTAACAGCTTAAACTTTATAGTTACAAATGTGAAATCGCTGCCTCATGCCAGCCTAAAAGCATCGGTTCAAAGAAGTTTTCCTATATTCTAAATTCTACTGATTTTCTGAAAGTTCTTAAAGCTGATGTACTTTGGAAGTTGGTTGAAGAGTTTGCTGTGAGACTTAAATGGGTGCAACACTCCTGCCTTACAACCCTTCAGAATTCTTTGCAGGTCTCATGGGTTTCTAGATTGATTCTTTGGCCCCAGTGTATCATGAATGACAGCACTCTTCTCTGTTGCCTGAGTATACACAGGAAAAAACTCAGCACAACAGTCTTTTCCTTAAGGCATACTTTTCCTATGCTTTCACTGGCCATAGGTGAGAGGTCACACACCAGGCACAGCACCATATTTCTGTCTTCAGGTAAATACTTTTCAAACACTCAAGGCAAGCTCACAGGTCAGACCTGTAGACATCTGTTTGGATGAAGAGGAGATCTGAGCCACTTTACTTTCTGTAGAATGTATCTATGACAGATAGAGATTGAGACAAGCTGAAGAACTATTTTTTAACTTACTTAAACAGTACTGAGAGGTTATTTTAGAAATAATCCATCTGGACAAGTGTATGAACACTTCAAGAAGATAAAAAAAATGGCATGTTTGGGAAAAAGAGATTGTCCATTTAGAACATGCCAAAGCACGTGTAAAGCAGAATAAAAAAAATAAATAAAGTCTAAAAGACAGAAAACTAAAACAACCAAACAAACAAACCCTTAAACAATGTTTTGACCTGGATCACTGTTGGAGAAAAAAAAAAAACAAACACTGAAAAACAAGTAACTTTGCTCTTCATGCATGAGGCATGTTACTCAAAGGAACCCAGGGAACACAATACTGCTGCACAGATCAGACAGAAGAGGATTATAAAAAAAAACAATAGAAAACAAAAGTTTTCCAAGAAAAAACTTTGACATGTAATAGAGATTTGTACTGGTGATAGTGCCACCAGCCACCATGGAAGAAGCACAGTGTTCTGCCAGGTAAAATTACACAATTTCTTATTAGCTATTTTACACCAATGCCTGAAAAAGCACAAAAGAAAATTATGAAAATCTGTTCTGCAATGTTGACTTTGAATCCTGAGAACATGCATCTAGTCAACTTAATCAGGTAAAAAATTAACCAGGGAAGGTTAAATACTAAAAAATATGGGCATTATTAAAATAGATATTCTGTAGAATGTTGATATCTGTACCAGCAGAAGATGTACCTAGATGTGAAATGTCTACGTTATCAGCAGATAGTGGTCACTTAAATAGAAGCAATGACTAGGACATTGGTTTAATTTCACAGAAGCTGCTCATTTCTAAAAAGTAAAATTATTTCTAGTCAACATCTGCATTTTCTTGAGGCTTCCTAGAGAGGTGAAGAGCAGACAATGCATTTTAATATGAACACCAAGCTGACAACTGGATCTTGTATATATGAACAAAAGTAGAGAGGGGAATGATTGTGTGTTAAGAGCAAACTAAATCTCATTTAAAAAGCAATACCCATTAGATACTAAGGAAAAATTTATGAGGTCAAATATAATGACCATTTATTAAAAAGTCCCCACAATTATATAACCTTGCCAGAGTCCACTTTAATACTAAAAGTTATTAATTCAGCTAAAACTGAAATGTTGGTCACTCAGGCTTTCTTCCTTCTAACATGTTTAGCAAAAAAACAATTTTATCTACAGCATAGGTACATAGAAAGCTTAAAAGGAAGAGAGCTGCTTTCTCCTTTTAAAAGTCTGTCCAAATTCTGTTTGTTTTAATTGTTAGAGTAAACAAAAGTCACCAATTTCCTATTTATGGTTGATATGAACCTCAAAAGGTGTGTTCTGTGAACATGGTTAATTAAGTCAGATCATCAGCCACTTGAAGACTGTAGAGTAATATAGGAAATGTGAAAATGGGGTGGTTAAATTTAGTAGGTAACTGCCTCTTAAAAAAAAAATAAAATTCACTTCTTATCAAGCACTGTTATTATCATTTGTCAACAGAAGTAGCATGTTTTGTTCATTCAAGATTTCATTACTCCAGTAGGACATCAGGAAATTCAAATTGGTACCTCTACCTATAACTCTTTGATTGGTGCCCTAATCACTTCCTCTGTGCCTCCAGCTGTCCTCAGATTCTGCAGGAGTACACTGCAGTCCATTTACTAAGGCAGACTCATGAAACTGTGATTTTATTGCAGGGCTACTAAGATTTTTAAAAGGATCAATAAGTATAAACCAAACTAAAAAAAAAAAAAGACAGGTGGGACATTTTTCTTAGTGCCAGTTGTTCCCAGAGGCTACATTTTTCAGATAGGATATTGTGAGTTATCTCCAGGGTTGACAAGGCCAGATAACATTTCAGTTATTAGCAGCAGAAGGATTAATGGACATCCACCAAAAATATCATGTTCAATACATGGGTTATTCAGGGATGAGGATGATTGAATTTGGAGGGAAATTGTTAAGGTATCTGAAAAGTTAATTTGAAATGGGAGGAGGTACCAGGCACTAGATCTTATCTGAAGGCTTATTTGAAGCAAGAGTCCAAAGCATTTGTCAGTTCTACAGATGCTCTAATGTGTGATTAATCAGAGTAGGAAATGGACAGAGATCAAGGAATATCCCAAAGCTGAGAAATGAGTTTAATTATGCTGCTTGGAGTAACAAGAGTGAATCCACCTTCCTTTGCCTTTTATTGCTTCTATAAAAATGGCAGGGAGTTGGGTATGAGTAAAATATGGATAGGATTTAAGGGAGAAAGGATGATATAGTATGTGAAAACAGTTAAGGACTGTGTTTTGATATGCACTGTACAATTTATTGCAAGAGTTCCCACAAGAGCTAAACTAATAAATTCATGTCCTAATTAAGCCACAGCCCTTTTATCTTGTTTTTCCTAACAGACACAGAGAGAAATCTCTTGTGGATGATAAGAAACATGATATTTGCATCTAATAGTTTGTAGAACCTTGTCCTTCTCATGCTATGGTTTGGTCAGTTTGTCCAAACATCCATTTATGCACATACTTTCCCCATAATCAACACTGAATTATCATTAAATTCAGCCGGTGAGAGGAATGCAACAGTTTTTCCAGAACTAAATTGTAGCTTCCCAATCCTACCTCTTTTCCACTTTTTCTTCCTCTTTTAAATTTTCTTTTCTGAGTCAAGTTGTTCCCTGAATTCTTTAGAATTACTTTAACATCTCTAATCTATATTTTCTTATGCTGATTCTTGTCCCCTCTTTCTTATTCACCCTGAAAGCAGTTTTTATTATAATACTTTATCACTTATTTGTTTTCTTACCTCCAAAATGCATTTCAATCTCCTCTCTTTCCATTGTACAGCCTTCTGAAGATTTTTGTCATGTTTTAGATTTTCTCTAGTCAATGTCCTTTCTTAGTATTTGAGTTCAAATACAGATTTAGCCCTGTAATTAGTACTTAACAAAGTGTAAAATAATTGTATTTTCCCTGACTATAAAAAATACAAAAAACCTCCCAAAAATACCTTTACTGATGCATTCAAGGCTATTTTTAAACTATGTACAGAGATACAGATATAGCTCATTACAATGTTTCTTTTGCTTATTCAGTTTTCTCATATTATTTCCCCAAATAATTTGAATCAATTCTGATGCAATCAAGGCATTCTCCTTTTGCTGGCTCCTCCTAGTTTCTTCTATTATTTGGATTTTTCACCTCCCATAAGTACATTCCACTTTTATTTCCCCTTAACTGACAGAGTGGTGACTTTCAGTGTGAACTGCTTACTTCATTTTTCCAGTGACGAAATATTATGGAGTCATTTTAAATTCTTAGGGTTCAGCCTGTTTTTGAGAACTGTGGGATCTGTGTTCATATTGTTATCAAGTAATTCTAGGTCAGGCTGTTACCTGTATTACCAGAGCACCTGGATCCATCCCTGAGTTTGTATGATAAAGGCAAGTCAGGAAATGGCTGTCTACATGTGAGCTGGTTTTGTATTGGTTGATATTTAGAGAGGAGAAGTTTTTTATGGATATGATTTTTTTTTTGAGAGAAGATGTTAAGAGCTTCTTTTGTGTTTATAAAAAGCCTAACATCTAGTTTTGAGAATTGACGACTTATTATACCATTTAGCAGCTGGGTTTTTTTATGTGGAATTTTTTTCTTTTAAAAGACAGGTAAGCCTGGGAAAGCACTTTTTTATTATTATTATTTTCGCCTTTGAAAACTTAGTAGTGCTGCTGGTGCCGGCCCCACTCTGCCTTGGCCTGCACGGCCTGGCGTGGCCGGGCCCCACAGCGGCCGGGCGGAGGACAGGAGGCCGGAGGGCTCTGGCTGAAGCTGGGCCAGCTCACAACTGTTAATACTTTCTTTGTACTGAGTCTTGCTCCTGCCGTCGGCTTGTGTTGAGCCAGGGTCTGCTGGGCCCTGAGAGCGGCTGTGGGCCGGGCCAGGCTTCTGCCACGGCCCCGCTGGCGGCTGGCAGGCGGAGGGAAGGGGCCAGTGTGGCCTGAAATCTGTCACTGTGACTGTTCCTGTTGTGAGGTGACCCCCACCCAGGGAGGCAAAGATTTAGTGTCAGATAAGCATTGTTAAAATGAGAGGCCTGGCTTTGAGCCCTGGAAATGTGAATACTAAACCTCTGCCTCACGGGATGTGCCCTGTGATCCCCTGGAAGAAACTCCACCCCGGACCCTTGTGGGGTGGCAGCCCGGGGAGTTCTGACTGGGTTTGAGCCCCTGGGGTTTCTCCCTTGCTGTGTTTCTAGTGGTCCCTGACCCTGAACTCCACCCTGGTTCTGTCCCTCAAAACCCCTCACCCTGCCTCTGTTCGGGGCTCTCTGGATCTGAGTTTGACTGATGTTTTTTCTGAGCAGAAGCCCATCTCCTTGGTGTCCCATGCCGGTTCCTGGTAACGGTGGCTTCTCTGGACAAGATCTGCAGCTGCGGTACACAACGCCCGTTACTGCCCGGCAGAAATCATCTTGACTGTCTATAGGCTTATACAAAATATTAACCTTTTCACTGCACAAATGAAACCTACAGACTTTAATCCTCTTTCAAGAAAGAGAAAAAACCGGAGTAATAACACGTAAAAAGACGACATAAAAATATTAAGGTCAGTTAAAAAAAAAAAAAACTAAAATCCTAGGTAGAAGGAAAATGAAAAAATGTTCTATCAATGAGGCTAAAAGTTCTTTTAGTAAGACTATAGACTATGATATACTAAAATATCCCTTTTAATTAATAAGAAAGTATAAGGAGCTAGAGTGTTCAAAACATAAGCAGAAACAACCATAATTAAACAAAGCAAATGGTGAAAGATCTGTGATCCCATAAAAAGCTTCAACAAAAAAAAAAAAGAGAAAGTAATGAAAACCCTTTACCCCCAAAGAAATAAGGAAACAACCTCTGTTCCCAGAAATAAAAATAACAAAAATAAAGATGAGAAAAAATTGTACCTTTAAACAGCTCATCCTTAAAGTAATACCACATAAGTTGACATAGCCCATTAACCCAACTGCAAGAAAACTGTGAAAATAGAAGTTTCACAATTACAATTTTTTTTTCCCAAGCAACTGCTATTCGTAAAAATGAAAAACCGCAAAAGAACTGTTTCTTGTAAAAAAAGTCTCCATAGCATGACAAGAAAACAACTCTTCTCCCAACAAGAACCAATAAAAGACTATTGTAGAAGTAGTAACTGATTTAAAAGCCCAGGTTTTGTCTCTACATTGTCAGTTAAGAAAGAGAAAAGGTCAGGCAAGGAGAAGAAAATATTCTGAAGGTTTCATTCTGATTCTTTTTTATTCTTTAGTTCTCTTAATAAAGTTTTCTTCACACCTTTTAAATTTTAAGCCTGTTTTGCTCTCCTCCTAATTTATATCTCACAGCAAAAAATAAATAAGTAGACTGGTGATTTTAGCCAATGCTAAACCCACCACAACATGGCATAAAGGCAGTATTTTTAACTCATTATAGAAGTAATAGGTAGGATTTTTTTCACCAGCATAGTAAATACTAAATGAAATTGGAAACTCAGGTTGTGAGATGTTAGTTTTCAAGGATGAGTTTATTTAAACACAGGTAGACCAAAAAATTCAAAAAGAAGTACCAGAAGAGCAGGAAAAATAATAGTTCAAACTAGCATAGTTGACAGGAAAACAGAGGATCCTTAGGTAGGAATTTGAATAGGAAAGGGGTCTCCAAATCATAAGCACATTGCAAGCATGAAGAACTTTTAACGAAAAATATATTCTAACTTCTCTTATTATTTAGATATTCAGAATCACAGTTTTACATTTGATATCTGCATGACAGAATTTGACATTTGTAGTTTAGTGTAGCAGGATCTTAATCCAGAAATCACAATGAAAATGCAGAGGCTGTTCAAAGAATTCAATATTCAGTGTGGGTGAGGGCATCCACATGGCTCTACAATTCTTTCCTTTCACTGAGTTACCTTATTTTAACATGGAATAATTCTACTGAAGGGTAGAGATACTGAACTCTGCAACAATAAAAAACCAAAATATTAATATTCAAAACTCTGAAAAAAATAAAACCACAACCTATCTTTCATAACTTGTGCCAAACTCGATTCAGAAAGGAAGAAAAATGAAACTAACATTGAGACAATCCATCTGTATTCTGAAAATGTTTTTCCTTTGGCAGACAAGGATATTTTCAGTTAGATGGTTCAGAAAGCTTTGAATTTTTTTTGTTGTTGTGGTTGTGTTTTATATTTTTAATAACAGATTAGATAGTGCCTTTTAAAAATCAAGCTGTGGTGGGGTGCTGTGAACCAAAACTTCATTCAAAGGCACAAAGCTTCCAATCTGATTTATGTTGGTTGATAGAAAATAACTACCTCATGTCTGCTTTTATAGGAAGCACTTGATATACTTGATGAATTTTACTAAAGTTTAAATTTCAGCTTTGGACAATGGGACATTGTTCCTGTTCAATTACTAGCAGGGTAGCAGTAATATATTACAACAGAATAGCATCCCTCTAGTGTCCATTCACCTGAATCATTTCAGTTCTCATCCATTATCTACCTAGAGAAATGAAACAAGCGTCTTTTTCTCTGCACAGTCTGTAAATTATGAAACATTGTATAGCCAGCTAGTGTGAATGATTAACTGAGATCAAGAGATATTTCACAAAAATGGCTCATTCTTCTCAATCAGAACCACAGCTCTATATACCAGATCAGAAAATGATGTCATATGTGAGTGTTTTTATTCTGATGCCTAGTAAGAGCTATTGTCATATCTTGTGTAATAACTTGCCATTGAAAGATCATAAAAGTAAAACTATTTTAAGGATCTTTTTATCTATATAGAAGACACCTTCTTTATACAGAATCATATTCTTTTTTATTAGCATATATACTGAGAATGAAAATCTACAATCAGAGGCTTTCATAATGAAAGTATAAAATTTTGTCAGTTTGAATTTTGTGGCAAATTTAAATTTCATCACTCTTTGAAAATTGAAATATATTGCTTGATTATTGGTCTTGTTAATATTTAGCTTAATCAAATTTATTCATTACCCTAAATGGTGAGGTATTGGGTTATTAAAATAAAATAATTTAACAAATGAACAAATTAAATAAAAAAATATTTAACAGTTTAAATGGTTACCTCTTTGCCTTTCAACCTTTGCAAGCCTGAAAGAAAGTATATTCTTCAAACTGTTCCTCCCCAATACTTAATGTTAGGTGTAATCTATTTCTGAATGTGGCACTTCTTGCATTATTTCAGAGTATTTAATTTCAAATTATTGTTCACCACTCTCTGATCCATATCTGTCATGGCTTTTGGACTGAAATTATTGATTATTTATATTGGGTTTACTGCAGTTTCTCTCTGCTAAGTTTCTTGGGTTTTTTCCTTTTTATTGTGGTCTGCTACTTCTTGTGCAAACATTAACTTCATCTTTTGAATATTTACAATAAATCTGAGTTTTACTAATGTGGACTGTGTCACTTAATTCAACAAAACTTTTGAAGTTTTAAAAGTAACTCACCTTTTCAAACTTTTGAGATTTAAGACTTTACATAATAATCTTTCAGGAACTTATTTTGCTTCTGAAATTTTTCTCATTTTTGTAATGATTGCTGCATGACATGGGTTGGTGCAGCCCTTTACACTTAGTTTCCATGATCCCCGATTAAATTCTGATATCCCACTAGACAACAAACCATTCTAAAAAGCTTCTCACCTAGAATTCAGTGTTTTGAGCACTACATAATGTATCCTTCATTTTTAAGGTCTCCTAATAGTTCAGGAAAATATGTAATTTATGCAAATCTATACATGAAGATTTTCTTATCAGCGTAGTTTAAGCTGAGGTTTTTTTCATCACTTCTCATAAAACCTCTCAAAGAGTAATGTCTTAGCCAGTATAAAGTTTTCCTGTCTGACTAATGTAAATTTTCTCAAAGTTTGTTCTAATGCTATTAAAGAAGTATAAGTAAAACTTTTTTCGGAATGCTCACCTTTGACTTTGCTAGCAAAGAAATGCGTTTTTTTCTTTCTTTATTTTTTTTTTTTTAATTTGGTCTTTTGGAAAAGCTCCACAGATTTGCATAACTAAGATTTCAGTAAAGTTTTATCAATCATCTTTGAATGGGGCCCAGTTGTGAATTAGAAATGTATTTTCTCCCATCATTTGCATTAATTTGATATAATCCCTGACTGTCTTGCCTGGTCACAGTTTTTAATGCCAAAAGTAAAGAAAGTAATAAGTTTTAACAGTAGCAATCCACACATGTGATCAAACAATTGTTAGCAGTTAATTCCCATCAGCCTTTGAAAGACAGGAGGTGAAGGGCAAGATACAGGAAGAAAAGGTGTGAAAGAAGACTTAAAGATGTCTGAATAGAAGAATAAATGAGAAGAAATTATATGATTGAGCAACAGATCAGGCAAGGTCATAAGGATTTTGTGCATGATCTCCCCCGAGCAATAAAAATGAATGGTATATTACATGGCTTATCATGCTTTATTATATTTACACCTGTTAGATTGTTTTGTATTTGAAGTCAACACTGCAAAGAGGAAGCTTTTAAGAAAATAAACCCCTTTTACTAATTACTATCCCATTCGTAATACAATGAATTTGTCTTCTTATGTGTATATGTGTCCATATACCAAACTGTATATGAGACAGTAGCTGAGCACAGATGTTCTAAGCATGTTTTTATTTCCTGTTCCCATATTATTTACAAGTTATTTCTAAATGTATATAGAACTATATTCATTGATGTATATTCATACATACTCATATTCATACATATATGTCTGTACATATCAGTGTTTTTATTTAAGAGTAGGTCATGTGCTTATTGTTCTCAAAAAAAGAAAACATGGAACAAAACCTCCAAAACCAACCAGAAAGTCCACACAATCTGGGGAAAAAGAAAAAAGAAGAAAAAAATAGTGTCTTTTACTTTGTTAAGAACGACCTTATAAATAAGATTTTCTTTGAGGAAAATTATTAGTTTGAGGTTCCTGAAACCCAGGACTATCTACCCATCTATCATGGGAAACTGCCTTTCTGTAGCATTTTTGTTTAAAATAACTTACACATTTATTACACAGTAGCTCTGCTCAGAAAAAAAATGGCTTTATGACCCATAGATATTTAATAGCTCAGCTACAACTGATCTGTCTGATGGATAGGGCTTTTAACTACACTGTGATTTTTGGAAGACCATAAGTGAAGGAAACTAATTGAATTGGCTTTTGAATTGGCTGGGGGGCTGCCATTGTTTGACAGACAATGAAAACAATTTAAATCACCTTTAACAAGAGAATTCTTTTGACTCTGGGAGTATCACCATGAATTCACATACTATTCCCTGGGGTGCCAGTGGAAACCACACTTTTAATTGCCAGTGTTGCACATATATAATCATATGGTCAGCAGTGTGTGTAGCAACTGCACAGGGTCTGCACAGTACTATAGAGGAAAGCTGTTAAATTGAGAATGTCTTTGCTCCAGACTAGAACAAATAACTAGATTCTGGAAAATTAAAAAATTATTCACCATTCATCTTAACTAAAACCAAATATTTTTCAGGTGTGTTGCATAGAATTTGGTGCTCAGTAGGGCAATGAACTTTTGAAATTTCTTGCTGTTTTAAAGTCATGAATTTCTTTCCTGAAGAATACGATCTCTTAGGTGATTTCCTATTCTTCATGTTCAATAAAAATAAATCTTAATCAAAAGCCCAGTTTGAAACAATTAATTTCACTTCCAAATTTGGTGGGTGATTGTGTAAGTTGCTATGGTATCCATCTTTCTTTCTGGGGTTTTATGATGTTCTCATCATCCTATCTGAATGTCTGTTATTTTATAGAGAAATGTAAGTGATCTATTTCTCTGTTTTTTGGCTGATTCATCTGCTGCACTTTTCTTTCTCCTAATTTTGTTTGCTTTTAAAAATCTATGCCTCATCATTTTCTGTGTTACTTCTGCTCACTTTTATTACATTTGTACAGTTCTTTATAATATAAAAATAATATTTATGCACAGCAACATCAATTTGGTGTGCTGTAATTACAACTAGTGGTCAGTAATATAGAGAACTATTATTCAGACACAAGCTTTACTGACACATGCTGTAATATTTAAGGTAGAGGTTTCTTTAAAAGAAGCTACTACTGTGCATTTTCAGAAGGAGTTTTACCTACAGCATTGGATCCTCAAAAGTGGAGGTACTTTTTTATGATACTCTTCTATTGTATTTTTTAAACATAGTCTATAAACCATAGATAAAATAAAAGATGATAGCTGGTCATAAATACTAATGTTAATTCTCTTTTCTGTAAATGAAAGTAACTGATTGTTTGGGTTTGGTCTGCCTTTGGGTTGTTTTGGGGTGAAAAATTTAAAAAAATCCTAAAAATCCTAAAAACCTAAAAAAACCACCAAAAAAACCATCAAAAAAAAACTCCAAAAAACAACAAAAAAAATCCAAACAAACCCAAACAAACAAACAAAAAAAGCCCTTTGCAACAACCAATTTATTTTCTTTATTTATTCTATTTTGATTCTGTCCTGTACCTCATATCATCAATAAATATATCAAATCAGAAAACTATTTTAGTCTAATTTTATTTCATTTTAAATTTTCTTTTTTCAGTCAACTCATAGTGTACTTTTTTCTCTCTCTTCATGTTTCTATTTGGGGTTCCTGCATTTGGTGTTCAACTGAATATTTTTTATATGTGCAGTTCTCAAGAGTACTGTAGAAGAGGAGGAAAGTGTGAGTGATGGCCAACAATGAAGAGCTACTGAGTGTAAGAACTTTTTTATTCCTGTATGTCCCTTTTTGTCTATGCCATTTTACAGAGGTGGCTTTGCAGAAAATGTCATGTTCAGATTTCTGGAAGTTCCCTCTAATCATTGTGCAATTACTTAACATAAATACCAGTATTTTACTTTTTGTTTTTCAGAACATGGAGGATACTTTTTCATAATCATTGTACTGAATTCCAACACCTACACACAGGATTCTAAATCATGGCTGCCCATGGAGAAAAGTTCAGCTTTTCACTTTATTCAGGTACCTGACTGAAGGGTGATCAATCTGCAATTTCTTAAGTATTATGGATGGTTTTATTTAAACAAGAAACATCCAGTGTTGGTGTTGTGTACTGTGCAAATCATGAGAATACATTCACCATGTGCTGCACAATTCTCAGAAAAGGAAATTTATAGACTAAAGAAGTTCATATGCTGCTGTCTACAAGAATCAGTTCTGGAAACAGTTACTTAAAACTGTATGTGGTTTTAGGACCTGAAGGATTAGTTCTGTGCACTTACTGCAAACAGTTCACCTCTGTCTTACCTGGATTGGACAGGGTTACATGTTCTAGACATCATTCTATTTATTATTATTGTTTTGACTGCAGAAGCAATAAAAGTTATGCTTCCAGGAATTAAATTAACAAATATTTATCTATTCCCCAAAAGACTTGAATGAGAGGCATAAATCCAAGAAAAATGTGAGTATATTGAAAATTTTATCATAAAAATGATATAATACTATGCTGTTCTTATTGGCAAGTTCTTTGAGAAATTAAATTTTAACTTTATTTGCAGAATAAAGTTATACTTCTCTTCTGAGTACCAACTTAAAGCCATTGGAGTTTTTGCAGGATATATCACCAGAAATCTGGCTGAAATTTTGCAGCATCTGTTCTTGTTAATCTAGTAGGAATATCTAGTAGGATATTATCTGACCCATCATCAAATTAGTGATCTAAAAACTGAGACTTTAATGAATTTATCAAATGGCTGGAGAAAATTTTAGAAGGATAAGTGTGAGAAAAATCTCTCTGGCAACTGCAGCAGACTCAGCTTTAGTCAACGTGATGAATGCTGTTCATGATGTGCAGCATGGGAAAGAAAATTATGCACAACGTGATTCTCAGACAAGAATGCCTTAGTGGAAAATGTTCAAGGACACTTTTAGCCATATTGAAATTTGACAAGGAAAATAACATTTTGCCATTATTAGTAAACACTTGCAGAGATTGTGTTGATTCAATAAAGTCTCAGGACTTGAGTAGACATATATTGATTGATCTGATTTTAGTTGTAAGAGCAACTGTCGAACGGGCAGATATTATTGCCTAGATTTGTTTCTACTTTAGTTTAACTTAATGTAGCTTTGTGCTGGAACAACTACAACTATCAATTGATAGCCAGAATTAAGAAGTAGTTATTCTGCTTAGATTGATTCATGATCCTAGAAAGAAATCTTAGTTTAGAAGAAAACAGACTTAAGCAGAAAACACAGATCACACTGGTCACTTCAGGAGAGCATCTTTGTGAATGAGGTTAAGCTATTTTTAATAATTTGAAAAATAACAGTAAAACAGATATCATCTGGAATTTTGAAGCAGTCAGAAGTTCATGTATGGCATTTTTTTATTATTGTTAACAAGGTATCTGTTGCTAGAGGACATGAAGTATTGGGCACAAGTCCAAGTCAGAACACCACAGCAACTAGTTTTCCACGTGGCTGAAGAGCTTGTGGCTAAAAAACCTTTATTCAGAGTTTTTTCAACCCTTATATAGCTTTTATAGATATATAGATAAAAGCTACCAGACAGGTTACCCTGACTGGTAGAAGGAACAACACTCCCTTTGGTCCCATTGGTAAGACCAGAGAAAACACACCAAGGACATCTGTTTAGTACTGTTTTGAGAAATGTTATCTCTTTACAATAACACAATCCTGGAGAGAAAGCTGTTCCCAGGAGCCTTTCCCTGGGAACAGAGGAGCCCCTGACAGGCCAAAACTTCTCTGAGGCTCAGAAATCCTGAGATCCTGAAACCTATAATATTAGATCGTTGGAACGGTGTTGGTATTACTATAACCTGACATATAATAACTGTTTGTTGTATTTTGTTTAGATTGTTAGAACATTAATAAATCTAGCAATAAATTATTTTCCTCAATTAAATATATTCCCTTTTTGTCTTTATAAACATTTTGCGTGTAATAAAAATTATTGACCGGTGTAAATCTAATTAAACTGTTTTTTTCTGGAAAACTATTTTCCCATTGCTTCTTTTTCCTTCCAGAAAATACTATTTAGAATTACCCATGTATCTAATCTTTCAGAATTGAATGAGTGTAGTTTCATAGATAAAGACTCATTAGCTTGATAATATTCATGGTCCATGACAATTCTAAGAGTTACTATTATCAGTCATAAAATTTCTATATACCAATTGTAAGAAAATGTTGCTTTGGAGGAGTCTAGTCTGGCTTCCTGTACTAGGAAGTCAATAAAGTTTTCAAGGCAGCAGAAAATTTCAGTGAATATGGTCTGATTCTAGTCTAAAGATATTTCTCTGAATGTTGGTATCTAGAATGTCTGTCTCTTTAGTCCTGTATGTATTACTGTGGTCCAAGTTAAAACAGTAGCCACAGAGACCAAAATGTAAAAAAAAAAAAAAATCAAGATAATTTCTTTCAGTGCATAGTGACGTGAAAAAAAATATATTTGCTTACATTTAACTCAGAATATGATCTAAACAAGCTAAAGATTGCCTAGGCCAGAAGCAAGACAAAATATGGCTGTGTAGGACTACTTTCTCCTATACCATTAATATATGATAATTTCAATTACTGTAGGTTCTTTCCTGCTCCTTTGTAACTTGTGCTGGTAACAGATCCCTTCCTTTTCCCTTCATAGCCTGAGTTATGAATAAATACCTGGCAACACATCATCAAGAGCAGAGATGTAAAGAAACATCACACTTCAAATGCCATTTTGCCTTTTCAAAACATAAGATGTGTGATAGTCCCATTTGTGGTCACTACAGCTAAAGACAGCAAGGTGTTGACCTAAAGAAAAATTAAAAAAACAGATCAGGGTAGTTTATAAGTTTTTATCATCTAGTCAAGAAGGTCTTGACCGCAGTCTAACTGTAGATAATTGGTAACAGTGGGACTCTTTCAACAGGAAAAAAAGTAGACTGAAACAAAATAAATATAAAAGAGCTGTCCCTACTAAGGTGTGCTAGAATTACTTTGAGCTGGAGTTACAGTCCTATGTCAAGGTCAGAACTATAGTCTGAAATTAAAAAGCAGGAAAGGGCAGCTCTACCCTCCAGATATCTTTATGTGAAGATAAATGTTAACTAATTAATAGCCAGCTCTGATAACAGCATCACAAAAAGGTTAAGTACCAGCTTATTTGTAGTCTTTTGACCCTGCTGTGTTTTCACAGATTGTCTCCATTGAACCAAAAGGATGGCAGTGTGCTACACATTGTGTTTCCATGCTCACTTCCAGGTAATTTCAGTGCTTTTGGAGTCATATTGCCAGCCATGCCTACCATAATGCACTGTATTGTACCAAAAGATCTTCATATTCCTATGTCAATTTATGTTTTTATTTCTAGCCAAATATATACAGAGATATCAGAATATTCTGTTAACATTGTTCGTTTTCCAAAAAATCCAGTATACAACATACATTAATTCTGGTATATCCACTTTCCTGCTTTACAACATCTTCAGACATTTCAGCTGTTGAAAAAGTAAAGCATTACATATTCAAAGATTTTCTGGAATTATGTTTCTAGACATTTGTTTAGCAGCCAAATTTATTTTTGCAAATATTTATCTTTTTATTTATTCAGTTTTTATTAAGATGCATTTTAAGAAAAAATCACTTTCATTGTAATAAGAACTTCAGGCACTATCCAAAACTCCAAAGTCTGTCCACAAAATCAGGCACTCTTCCTTTTATGTCATAAATGTAACTGTATCGTTTACTATGCACTTAGGACAGTTAAGGAATTTAGACAGTCTTTAAAAAGTAAATTGGCTTTGGGAAGGTGGGGCAAGGATTGGGGATTACAATACCCATAAGGAAAGTTTTTGCCTTATGGTTGTTCTAATGTTGAAAAAGAAGTAATTTCACAAGTTTTAATCTCAGAGGAATATTTGAATGAATGATGATTTTCATTATAAAGTAGAAAATATTCAGCCCAGAAAAACATGTATATTTTAGAAAGGGTTTAAAAGTTCCTTACTTTTTTATTAAACCAGCTTCTGTAATCTTTACAACCTTTTGCCATACTCTCAGAAATTACTGATGGGTCTTCCTGTCTTTAATTTCTGTAGGTACTTCTGTAATATATTCAGTCACCCTTGGGAAGCATCTTTTTGGATATTCTAGAAAAGCTTACCCTCTTCAAAAACTTTTAAAAGTACTTGGTTAAAGAGAGAACATAACACAGAAGCAAGTAAAGGTACTTGCCAAATACACAGAACTGAAACTCTTCCTCCTTGGCTAATACAGCTTGTGTTAATTTAAGATTAATTTAAGAGAACAACTAAAGCCATAATAGCAAGACATATGTATTTCTCATGAAAAGACAGTGAAGGGAGCTCCACGAAATTACTGGAACTTCATTCACTGAGTTTCCCTTTCTTACTTTATGGATCACATTATCTTGGTCCATCATAAAAGACTGCATGCATGTTATTTTATCCTCTATTTTTTGGTCATACACTAATATTTGTATGTGATATATAGTTATTTCCCACCTTGGTTAATGTTAAAGTCCCCTTTTCATGTCTGTTTTATGTTGACATTCTCTACTGTCAAAATCATAGAAATAAAATTCCATCCTGTTAGCTAGAGTACTTTTTCCACATTTTATTTGGTACATTTTCCCAAAAAATTTTATTTGGTTTTGTGCCTTTGCCCTATGTCCCTATACAGATACAACGAGGAAAAAAAAAAAAAAAATAAAAAAAAGTTGATTACTGAGATACATTATTTCACTGCAAGAAGGGAAGATGTCAAAATATACTTCTGCTCCATGACAAAATATAAAAAGTGGATTAACTAAATATAGCCTAAAACTCACTTTCCAAATGACAACCCCAGGGATGAATCTGAAAGATTTGCATATGCATTTCCTACAAGCCAGATTCCTCAGTTCCTGGTTGATCTTGGGATTATCACTGTTTGCTTCCTTCTTCACCTTTGCAAACAAACAAACCCTCTAAATAGACGAGATTGTGTCAGTAAATTATTTTTTAAAGCCAAATTCAAAATAAGTGAGTTACTAGGAAGAATCCAAGTTATTTTAACAAGATATGGCTTAAGTTCTTAGGACATAAGACAGTTTACTGGTATATATTTTCCAACTGGTATAATTCTAATCCTTTCTGAGCAAGCTGCATGCTCCAGTAATGTATGAAATTATAAGTAATAATAATGCAAGCATAGGCAGGATACACAAAAGAGGTTTAAGTATTAACACTAGGTGCAAAAATAATAAAAAAGCTAGGTGAAATGTTTATGTGATGTTAAATAGCAAAAAGTGTCCATAGAAGTTAAAGATTTTGTTGAAATGCAATCAAAATTATGTTAACAGAAAAATATAAAGGAAATCTGGTTGTTTTCCATAGGATTGGTTGTGAGTTCTACACTGAGGTAGAAATAGTTTTGGGCAACTGAATTGTTATAAACCTGGTTGCAAGAAACTTAAATTCAGAGTATTTTTATTTTTGAAAGAAAAGATTACTCCAACTTTGGGAAAGATGCCTAGAGCTAAGCATATGTAAGAAACCATGGCAGAAGTCAAACTTTGCAAAGTGAAGTACAGTCTGTACTTTGGCTTAAAGTAACCTTTTCCCTAAACAAATTAAATATGTAGCATGTGTACTACTCATTCTAAAGGAGCCAAACACAGGGCTTTTCTCCTTTCTTTGTGTACATATTATCTCTAAGGTTATTCTGGTTCTTGAGTTAGTTCTTCTGGCTGTCCAGTTTTAACCTTGAGAGTTGAACATAGGGTACCAACTCTCAGAAGGACATTGAAGAATTCCCTGTATGGTATGCAAAATTCCCATTTCAATGAGCAAAATCATTTTCTACCTATTCAAGTAGTAAGTGCAACTTCTGAGATAGAAACTGGGGCTTAGGTAACCTCAATGACATTAGTAAAACACTACAGGATATCCTAGATACTTCTGCTCAGATTACATATTGTTTTTTCTCTAATAGACTTTCTTGCCATATAAAAAGAATATATAATAAGTATGATTCAAACATATTCGCAGAAATTATTTATGCAGTTCCTTACTCCAAACAGAGATTACACTAAAGCTGTTAGTAAAAATACTAAATTATAATGATGAAATTTGAGGCAATCATCTCCTCCCTAATCCATCTCTTCTGTCTCTAACAGACACCAACATAAATTTGAAGTAGAAAAAAAAAATCTAGTATTTTTTAAAATTTCCTTTTCTATCACCCTTGTTAAAAAATTAATAAAAATGGCTCAATGAGCCAAAATCTACTCAATGAAAAAAAACCCCCAAGCTCACAACCGAAAATCTTTGTGTTTAAATACACTTCATACTCTTCTAGAGTGAAAGGTTTTTTAATTTATTTGTCCTGCTTCTAAGCATTCCTTAAAAGGAGTGGGCAGAGTTTAGTTCAATTTATTTTCTTTTGGAGAACTACCACAACCATAACAAATATAAAGTAACACAGCATGGCTTGACATTAAACTTTTTTTTTTTTTAAAATGTGTGAATATGTTTTGTTTGGAAAAAAATGTTATGACTCATCAATACAGGTGATAGACATATGAACCTTAACAGATTTTGTGACTAAAAAATACTGCAATGGGAAGAAGATATCAGTTGTTGAAGTAAGAAAGTATATAGAGAGAAAAACTTACGGAAGTAGGAAAAAAGTAAGTTAATGAGGAAATTGCAATCAGTCTTCTCATCATCAACTAGAAATAATTATCACAGCATGCCACCATTCAGCTGTTGATTAAAGGTATTTGCTTAATATATTTGAAATAATTATGCTCATTCATAAGGCCCTGTCAGCACTTCTATTAGAAACTATGTCCCTTTGGGTTTTGTACCTTTAAAATTTGTTCAAGGATGCATACAAAATTTCATTAGTTTGAATTATAGCACTTTTAGTCAGATCTGATCAAAATCATGTATGTATGTACTTTGGTATGCTTAAAAACCCAAAGCTCTACTCTTGCATCCTTTACACATTTTTAGTTCCCAGTGAAGCAAAAAAGAAATTACAGAAGCAAAAGGGAATGCAAGAATGCTCAGAAAAGACGCCTGGGATTTATATATGTACAGTATATAAAATATCTAAGACCCTCTGCATACAATTATCATTTATGAATTAATGATCATAAATTAATTTTATCTTGTGCTTGAAGATATTAATTTTTGATTTATAAAATCTAAATGGAAGTATTGGCACTAACTTTTTGCATAGAAATATGATTAACTTCTTTAGCCTAAGTTACATTCTTCATGAGGAGACTTAAAATTACCTAGGACTTACTTTAATTCCCAGTGCTGACATTTGTTAATATTCCATTTCATGCTGCAAAGGCTATTAAAGTCTTCCTAGATTGTTTTTAGAAGAGCTAGACAGTTTTTTATTTAGTTTATTGTTGTACTAATGACTTAATGAACACATAATTCACTCTACCAAAAAAACTGGTTTGTACCTGCAGCTGGACAAAATTTGAATATTTTAAATGAATATGTGTTGGAATTCCAAAACACGAAGCACAAGTAAAGGGTAAGATTTTCATTGAATTGCTAAAATATTGGAAAGAAGATGAAGGTCTCCTCTATGACTTCTCTCCACTGTAAAAACCAGCTCCTTCAGTCACTCCTCATAGGACTTATTCCCTAGACCCTTCACCAGCTCTGTTGCCCTTCTCTGGACATGCTCCAGCACCCCAGTGTCATTCTTGACTTGAAAGGCCCAAAATGGGACACAGAACTTGAGGTGTGGCCTCACTAATGCCAAATACAGAGGGACAATCCCTTTGCTGGTCCTGCTGGCCACACTCTTCTTGATATAAGTCAGGATGCAACTGGGCTACTTGACCACATGGGCACAGTGCTGGCTTATGTTCTTTAGTCCAGACTAGGCCAACGGTTTTTCTCCTGAGCTCAATCTTGAATGTAAATTCTTAGAGGCATAAGACAATTTGTTTAAAAACACACTTAACCCTCACCTCAGGACTAAGCAGGAGGATATTGGGTATTCAGTATCTGAGCATTTTTGATGGCCTATTCTTCCATGCATTCTCTAGATCCAACTTAGTTCTGTCTGGCTAGAACTCTTTTCACCATGGTTGCTACATTTAAGTCCTTATGATGTGCTACTGAGAAGAGTGTTATCTGTTCATTTTCTCTGCACAGAGGTGGTGACTGGGAAGGATTCTGAAGGCTACCTGAGAAGGATTTTGTCCCTTCTCTTTTGTCCCTGGTATGAGTCT